CTGGGCAATGTGGTCTTGACCAGGGTAGAGCTCACCAAGGAAAGCCACAGCCCTGCCACTCCACTGAAACCTCTCTGACAAGTCAGGGTTTCAAAACCTGTGAAGGCAGAATTCTCTGAAACYACCAYGAAGTATTTTAAAGTRCTAATGACTGAGAGGAGATTAASTACAGAASACAGTTTTCAAAGGAATGTTCTGGRGGATTCACCAGGAGCAGCAGCAGGACCTGCTGGCAATCCCACACTCCTTGCAGTTACTGGCTCATACAGAGTCAAAGCTTCAGGTTCAATCCTGCACCATCTCAACTCCAGCATCACTCAAGAGTTACAGATCCTACAGGTTCCCTTCTAGAAATAAAACTGTCCACATACAGGCTCGAGATTTTTGTAGTTCCATTTCATAGATTACTCTAAATACTGGCAGTTTCTAAACTAATGAAAATCACACCTACCTCAATTAAGATGTTCTATTTTTATATTTAGGATACATTTCTTCAAAATAGTCGATGTGTGGAGGCTGGAGGATGTCGAGGGCAGAGAGTACCTAGGAAACACCACACAAGGTCAAGGCCTACTGCAGCCAAACAAAAACAAATCCCTTTCAAAAAGACAATCAGACTGCACACTTCTTACATGGCCTCATTTTATTCTACCCCACAGACAGACCAATGTTCTGTCTCACCAGGYATGCAAATTTAATAACCCACCATGTCAGATATTCTGATATTCTTGATAATTTCATTTTTATAGTGTTTGCAATGGTAACAAGAGAGCTCTTAAAGCATTTTAGATATTCTACAACTTWAAAAACACACTTCTTTTACAGAGCTCCATTTTACCTTTAGCATTCTCAAAGATTACAAAATTACTTTGAATTTACTTACATTGTCATGCTTAAAAAAACACAACATCTTCAACTCCCGGAAGACCCTTTTACAAGAGACCAAATTTTGGAAGACGTTGGGCATCTTTTTGAGTGCAACTCTCTTTCCATCTCGTGGATCTGTTACTGACCTACAGAATAAAAGATGGAGAACATCACATACTCCTGTTAGACAGCTTTTCCCAAGAAGAAAAGAATATATTAAAGTTTCTTATAATTCGCAACTCAGTGAGTCAAAACAAGGTGAGGACATTTCTAGGGAAAAAAGCATTAATGTGAGGGCATTGAGCACCACGTCCTGCAGAGCTGTGTAACACAGAAGAGTCCATTCCTTGGGAGGGCAAAACACATAATAATCCCATTCTGACAGAACACTGGCAAGGGTGACTTTATTTATTGCTCTATCACCAAATCACATCTGGAGAAGCAACAGCACATGGTATCTAAGACTCCACAAATGTAAAACAGGAGTGATATTGGTCTTTTGCCCACACAACTTACGGAATGCAAGTATAGTAGCTCAGAAATTATAAGGTGCTTTGCACATGGCAAGTATTTTAATTTAAAATAATTAGATTCTGAAAATAGAATTTTGTAATGAGAACCATAAAAGTAGAGCAAGGAGATTATGGTGCCTCAATTCCCAATCCCAGTTTTTAAGGTGAGCTTCAGAAACCTCACTACAGAACAGAGTACATGCATATTTTTACTGGGATGACCAAAATAACTTCAATCTCAGAGCAGTGCCAAACCCACAAAAGAATCTACACCCAGCTATGCACCCTGATAATTACATTTGTCCTTAAAAAATAGCTGGCTTTTCTCTCTCATGTGACTTCAGCAGACATGCAAGGCAGCTTCTTCTGTCTCAGGTCCACATTTTTAAATATCTAAATAAAAAATCAGACTGGAGTGTTYAGGTATCTAATCTACCTTACTGCCAGCTACCACCTCCGATTTCCAAACACAAACCAATTCAACCAATCTAAAGTCAGTTCCAACACCTTGACAGACACCTGTTAACAGCCCTGCACGTTTGTATTTTAAACAAGGGGCAAGGGGGGACTTGGGAAAGGTGGTGTCAGCTGAAGAAAGTCTGAAAGGTCTTTTAATCCACGATATATTTCCTTTTTCTCCAGGACTTTTGCCTAAAGTRGTGAGAAAGGGCAGGAGAAGAGCAGAGCTCCAGCAAATCACTGCTCACACAGCTCCACACAGGGCATGGGGACCTTGGGTGGCACCTACAAAACAAGGTGTAATTCCCCACCTTTTGGCACATCTCAGGCTGTGGCATTCAGCAGAGACAGAGTCTGAACACCATAGACACACAGCAGGGTCTGCACAGCTTTCCCATCTCCTGTTGGTAAATTTAGGCTGTATCTATAGCAATCAGCTTCCAAATCGGAGTGCTACCACACCACAAAGGCACCATTCTGGTTAGTCACAGAGAATAACCCACTTTGTACACAGTAATAGGCAATTGCTCAGGATATCAGAATCAGCTTTGTAATTTTAGGTGATTTTGATACATTAGAATTTCTTCTACTGCCCATGCCCAGGAGCTGCTGAAGCAGGGAWAACAAAGCACCTCCCACCATCCCCAGTGGGGATGTTCCTGCTCAGTGTCAGCTCCACAACCAGCTCCTTGTCACTGCAAACTCCACAGAAATTATTTAAATGTTCTCTACAGGGTGCTTTGAATCTGTATTTTAAACAAACATCCAACCATATTTTAAACAAACATACAACTTTTACTACAAAACATCTACTTACATAGTTCCTATCCAAGGAACTAAAATGTAAGAACTGCTAACATATTCATTTTATTAGTTTAAAAATGAAACTAATAAAATAATTACCTACACTCATGTATACTCCTCAGATACTGCCATACCTTCACACAGAATTACCAGATGACCTTAAAAGGTGTCCTTTTAATTGAATTCTAGATTAAAATGGTCATTCCTGACTTCTAATAAAATATTAAAATAGAATAAGAGAATTCAGTTTCAGAATAGCAACCCAAAACATTTCCAGGCAAAGTCTGAAACTTGATAAATTATTTCATAAGATCAGAAGTACTCCTCTTCCACTGCCCAAACTGAGGGAAATGTTAAAATACAGGACCAGAAAGTTTGAAGTCAAGGTCACTGCAAAAAAAGTACAGAAAATGAAATTTTTGACGGAACACTCATTTTCTGCAGCTATTCTACTACAAAAGAAGGTTGCATAAGACACAGAAATCAACAGACAGCTTTTACCAAAACCAGTTCAGATTGAAACTAAATTTGGGGACATGGAGTCGACCATCTACAGTTGAGTAAGTTCATATCTGCTCTGCAGAGAGCCATGAGGCAGTTTCCAGTTGCCTTAATTAAAGTTCTCCTATCAATRTTAATTACACATGAGCAGTAACACAGTCTGCAGAACTTTTTTTTTCCTATTGATATTAAGCCTGAACTTTGTCTAACCCCRCTTCCTAATTCATTTATCAAAATTTTAAAAAGGAAAACATTTTACAATAAACATTATCTTAAGAGAAATTATAGGCATAGGAAAGCAGTTGCTGACTCCATGAAAATCCTTTCAACCACTACCTCTAAAATTATGAATGGATGCCCATCTTTTTCTTGCTGACTGAAGGCAGAGTCAAAAATTTTAAGCCCAGACTCCCTGATTTCCAAGATTCTCCTGCTGYTGAGCCTTACTTGAGCAAACTGTTAGCACTTTATACCTCCAAATACCAGACCTCTACTGTTTATCATCCTGCAAGAACATTTATCTGGGAATATYAAGCTCTGTTCAGCCAGAACATAATCAGGCAATTGATACCAGGGACCATCAGTGTCCTGTGAATTCTCAGTCTCTGCCCATGGACGGAGCTGTTGTGCAGTCACACTGGGGAAAGTCTGATAAAACTGTTGTCTTTAATTAAATAATACAAAACTGATTTATTTTGATAGCTACCACAGATTTACTGATGCTCATTTTTACTAGTAGTGGAGCCAAAAAGAGCTGAACACACCCAGGGCTGTTGAAGTTCACCTCAACTGTGGCAGGCCTGATGTACCCTTCCAAATGTTTCCATTCAATAACAATTGGTTCGGGTGAAACAGTCTTTTCCAAGTCCCTCATATAGGAACGAGTTCAATGGGGTTTCTGTGACATTTGCATTTAAGGCTAGTTTCTTTTTTCTTTTCAATAACCCACTTTTACAAACAAGTGATGGTCCCCTGCAGTATCCAAGTGTAAAGAAATTCCTCTGCTTTTTCCTCCACAGCAATAGCAATGCCAGCCTGCCCCTCACCTCCCTGCCTTGGGTTGGGAGCTCTGTACCACTCACCACCAATTTCACTTCAAGGGGCAGCACAAAACTAACAATTCAAKTTCTGAAGATCAGAACTGTCAGGCCTGCATTCCAAAGAACAGAAACAAGAAAAGAAGAAAGGAAACAGCCTGTCTGAAAACCTGGTATTTACAGCATCCAAAAAAAGATGCTGAAAAATGTTGCTTTGTTTTTGTGTACAGTACCTACTTTGATACTAGTAAAATAATTATTTATAGCAATATGCTATCAGGTCACATATCCCCRGGAGAAACTAGAAAAGCAGGAAAATCTCCTAGGAGCTAATTGAGAGAACAGCTAGAAAGGCAGCTTTACTTAGTGCTGCTCTCAGAAGAGCACATTTCCATTGCCTGCCCTGCTTTGTGAGGCCATGGCAGTGGTGAATCCCGCAGCCAAGGGCCCAGCAGGCAGAGCCATCCATCACTCAGCAGCGGCKCTTTCAACCACTACTGAAACCTCAAAGGGTCCACTTATTAGGCACCAACTGCAGCTGGGGATAAAGAGATCAGAGAGCAAGATAGAAACCAAAAATAACCGAGCAAAAATTTATATATAGGTATGGGGCAAAAAATAAGTTAATAAATCTTGTATCAAGGCAGATAGTTCAGCTGTAACCAAGCCTTTAGGATCGTCACTGGGAACAGTGGGACCAAGCTGGCAGATCCAGCACTGAACTCTCTGAGTGGAACCATCCCAAAGCCCCATCCCTCGAGTGACAGAGGGGAGCAAAAATTTATATATAGGTATGGGGCAAAAAATAAGTTAATAAATCTTGGATCAAGATAGCTCAGCTCTAAGCAAGCCTTTAGGATCGTCACTGGGAATAGTGGGACTGAGCTGGCAGATCCAGCACTGAACTCTCTGAGTGGAGCCATCCCAAAGCCCCATCCCTCGAGTGACACAGGGGAGCAGGGCCAGCACAGTTGGGACAAAGGGCAAGGATGTTTTGGGGAGCAGATCACAATCACAGCAGGTGAGGGATAGCAGAACAGCCCTGGTCCTGCTGGGAGCCATAGCACAGGAATGGGACTGCACCCCCTGAATTGCAGTGGGTGCCCTGTGAAGCACCTGCCATCAGAAACCCTTTTTTTTTACCTGATTAAATATAATGTATGTGTGTCTTGCTATATTTAAGAACTACATAAAAAGCTTTCAAAACAGTCTGACATAAAAGACATCAAGAAAAAAGACACTTTACAAAACCTGCACCTTCTATTTACATTGCAGGCTAATCACACCAGAAATAATACAATTTTTTAAAGTAATAGGACTACAGAAGAGATTAATGACACAATCCAGACCTCTAGTTAAAATGTTTTCAAAGRCAATCCTTATCTCTAAGAATCCTTGCAGGCATTCAGCCGTTTCAATTACGCATTATAAGCCTTTAGCAAYTCTCTGCCATGCTGATGGCAAATTTTCAAGGTGGAGTCTACACCAACAGTGACTTTTTCTCTCCCTGAATCCAGGTCAAGGCATACACATTGTTCTGTAGTTTCCACTGGTAGAAAAACAAGTTTGTGACTGCTCCATGCAATTATTACACAGGAGCAAGATAATGAAAGAATGGTCTTGGCGTGGTGTGGGAAACTGCTGRTGGAGTTTGTTCTACCAGGGAAACAAATCTTCCTTCACATTTATAAAGATATCTATAAATTTATATCAGGACTTACCAGAAGGAGGGGAATTTAATAGGATTACTCTGCAAATTTTTCTTATTAGTCAGTGAACTTTTTTTCCTCAGCAAGCCTTGCTCTGAGATACATAAGTGACCTGGTCCCACAA